CCCGTACGCACGTCACTGTTAAAGCTAAAAATTATTTTTGCATCGAAAAATATGAAACCTTATTAACTACGTACTAAATATCAGTGAAATATCTGACGCAGATCTGAAAATATTAATTAATTTCCACTTTTTTTCTAAAACCTCAACTCCCCGAGTTTTCGTAAAGAAACATTTTGGACCTTAGTTTATCAGGCAAACTAACATTAATTTTTCATATAGATTCACACCCTTAAATATTCGCGTATCATTAAAGAACACCCTGTATAAAGGCTGCAGGTAACAGTTATACAATAAAAGTGTAAACTTTTGCAGCCGCTATACAATCATTCTGATAAATGATTCTGCTTTAATGAAACCATTTCTACTATTTCTTATGTATTGTATAGGCAAAATTAAGAATATACAGGGTCCCTAAGTGAAACGTGACGGTTTTTGAAATAGGGTAAATCAATGAATTTTCCAGATACCTTTAGATATATATTTTTATTTAATTGAGCAAGAGTGGAAAACAGAAATGCACACCAAAAAGCAGGGAAACCATTATGTTGAAAAAATAACCTCACTCAAATGACGACCCCCATTTTCAACGCACTGCCTAAGTCGGTTGGTGAAGCCCGCCATCACTCTCTTCAAAGTGTGTTGAGGGATCGCATGAATTTTTCTCCGGATGTTCTCTCGCAGTTGTTCCAAACTTCGAGGCTTGTCCATGTAATTTTTTCCCTACGCATAAAAATCGCGTGAGGCCAAATCGGGAGAGCGTGCAGGCCATGGAGTGTCACCACGGAGAGAGAAATCTGGCTCCAATAATTCTTGACCGATAGTAATTTTATATGGATGGAAGCGCAAGTATCCATGAAGAATTTGGCGGAACGCTCTGGTCAGACATTCTCAGAACCTTAGCGTGACGAATCGCGGAACGCCTTTTTTATATACATATACTCCAACTCCCACGAAGGCCTAAGGCCTAAGCACCCATTGGATACCGTGGGGCTTAGCCTTGGACTCCGTTCAAACGCTACTCGTACTGCCTCGATGTTTGCAGGCGTCCTTACTGTTCTGGGGGACCTTCCTCTTCTTCTTGTTGTTAAAAAGGCAGTGTTACGAAAATTTCGAGCCCATAAAAGGATCGTATTCCTCAATGAGATACGCCCACGTGGAGGAACATAGTGCACATGAAAACCTCGCTGGGTTAGGATCACAGAAACGTTATTTCTGAAAAAGGTATCTACGGCTAACGCGCTGTGTTGGGCAGTTCAACCTTCCATTGTTGTTAACGTCCCAGATCGCGCGAACGAAAAGCACCAAAACGTGGCCCTCTCCAACCACCCATCCATTCCCTACCTCCTTTCAAAAACGATGAGATTTCACTGACGGACCCTGTATAACTAACATATTACAGTGGTCTTGTTTACTTACATATCGGCCATTGTGAATTTCATATACAGGTGTATGATAAGCCTCTACATTGTGATATAGGGCTATTGAATTACTTACGCAGCAAATTTGATCGCGATTATCGTACGAAGTAGCTACGCAATTTCTACGGGCTTCATATTTGACTCATACGTTAATAACGATCAATAATATGTCTGGATTTCCATATTTAAACACAATTACACTAATTTTTATCACAGTATATTTGGAACTTCGGACTGAAACAGAGTTATTTAATTTTCAATGGAGGAAGATTTTACCCAATAGATAGCCTAAGTCTGACGTCAGAGCGATGGGAGGAGCTTAGATTGGCTCCAAAAAAGTTCGGTTATAACGGTGAATTTAAAAACGTGCCTTTGATTAGATTTGTATTAATTTATTTTTAATATAGGACAATAATGATGTTTTAAAACGTTTTAAGGTTATGTCGTTGTTTATATGTTTTTTAAATTTTACGAAATAACTGAGTTCCTGGTTTTAATTATATGTATTCTAAGGTGTCCACGGCTCATTCATTATAATGGGAATGTGCTTTGTGCCTGACTGCAAACATTACAGTGATAAACAAACGTGCAAGTTTTTTCGGTTTCCTTTAAACAAGACAGAAATGAGTAGATGGATTTCTCTTATAAGGTAAAGGGATAATATATCAGTCTTTATAGAAACATTTTTAATTGTTTTTATTTACAGGAGAAAAGATAGAGGTCCTAGTCCATTCTCCAAAGTTTATGATTACCATTTTATAGATCGGGATGAGAAAAATGGACCAACATTATTTGATTCTAATATTAAAAATAGATTCATTTACGACTGAATTTGCTCCATGAAGATCTGAGTATTAGATTTAATTGCAGCACAGCTACTGGTACCACTATTGTAATGACTTGGATTTACGCTCTGCATGAAGTGCTATTTGAACATTTGATGAAGACAATACCATCCAGACAAAGAAACCGAACCGGCCTTCCGGCTGCATTTACTAATTTTAAAAATTGTAGAATTATATTAGTCTCTACAGAACCTTACACCATAGTTCCAGCAAGCATGGAAAATCAGAGGTTGACATACAGTTCTTCTAAACACAAAAATACATGGAAAGTTTTGGTAGGAGTGGCACCAAATGGGGTAATAACATTTGTTAGCAAAGCTTACCCAGGGTCGATATCTGACAAGAAGATTGTTGAACAGAGCAATGTTTTAAATCAAATGGTTCCTGAAGATATGATTCTAGCAGACAAAGGTTTTTTAACTAAAGACCTTCTTCCTGCTGGGGTGTCGCTCAATATTCCACCCTTTTTAATTACACCCCGGTTCACAGAGTCGCAGGTATATGAAACACAGCAAATTGCAAAAGTCAGAATTCATGTAGAGAGAGCCATCAGAAGAATAAAATGTTGTAATATTTTGCAGCAGGTTCCACCTTATTATATATCCCAAATTTCAGTTATTTTTCAATTGTGTGCAGCTTTAACAAACTTTCAATATCCGCTAATTAAATAAGTTGAAAAATATTATTAAACTGATATTGTAGAATAACATTTGGTTTTATTTTTAGTTTATATAGAGTTTTTCTATGAACAGTTATCATTTTTGTGTGAAAACATTTCAATCTGCTAAAAATGTCTCACTATTAAAGTTTATAGTTTGGATGAAAAAACATTGGTTAGTCATTAAGTGATTAGCATGCACTTCACTTAACCAATACGTTGCTTTAATGAAATATCCATACTATAATGCTTATTTTGTTATAGAAGACCAAAAAATATAAAACAAAAAATCCCTTATGGCAATTTACCGTTGCAAACGAATTTGTTCTGAGTCAATTTCGGCTCCGCCCATAACTGAGACGTCACGACTTAGGCTGTCTATATGGCAGGTGGTTATGTATGATCATGACATCGTCCGTATTGTCTTTTACTTTTTAGAATAAATTGATGTTATCGGCAAGTGTCGTACACCAATTTTACAAATCTCTGAAATGAAATGCGGACAGAGTCGAGTGATTGTAGCAGATCTATATATACCAACATATTCAGCAACAAATGTATGGCAAGCACAGCAATTTTGTGCTATAAAAGTTGACACTGTTGCAGATGTACAGCCTTTGACAGTTTCTAAACGACAGTTGGATAAGTGCTTTCGTTGGGAGCAATTTGTTGGCTAAAGTAGTATAAATGTTATCATGAACGCCTCAACACCTCTAGTATTGTATCTACCGTGCAAATATGCCATATAAAATAGTTGATAAACGTTTATGCAACAGCTCTTATTGGTCCTATAGGGTGCTGTATTATGCTACAAGAATATTTTAGATACCTCATTTCAGAGCAATTGCAACCCACACAACATTAGGCCAGCATTTTTATGTTCAAGCAACTTAATAGATAGCTTTTACGGCAGAACAGTTCTTTTATCAAAAAGCACCTCTTTGCTAGTTGGATCTTGTGGTGAAATGGTAATAATTTTGATCTATAAAATTGCATGAGTCTGGCCTAAATTTCATAATAAAGGAAACACACTATGACCTCTCTCCTGTTCATGCATACCCTTGGTAACTTATTGGTGAAAAATAAGATTAGCTAGTGATGCACTTGTCTAAAACCGAGGGTCTTAAATAAATGGTTTCCGTTTGTGGTAGTTATTATAACAGAATGATCTTCGGTCACAAGTGAACAAAAAATCTATGCATAGGACATTTTTTCATCAAATTTGGCCACAAGAGTTAGCCGAAATTCAGAAGCTTCCGAAATAAGCTAAATTAGCGAGTTTGTTATCAATTTTAGTGAGGCCCTCTGACAACAATATAAGCTTAAATCATAAAGATGCTTTATTTCAAGTGGCGAAGTTGCTAATTATATAAAAATTATGTGTTTTTGGATGACTTAGGTATTTTTGGAAAAAGTAAGATGATATGTAAACAATCAGTTAACGTTCATGTCTTAATATCAAAAAGAGAATATATCAGATATCGCAGTTATCAGAATTTCGGCCTTTAGGGATATTTTTCTATTTCACACCTAATAATAATTACTTAGAGGTCAAATTCTAAATCAAGGTGAAACTATTCCTGGTTTTCACTTTTGGACAAATAATCTTTTACATTAAGTAATTCTTCAGATTGATGTAAGCAGGCTGTATATATTAGTTTCCCGTAGCTGGCAAGATGTGTATGTATTAGAACACAATCCCACTTTATATTTCGTGTATGTGATAGGAAAAAAATCCTTACAGGGATCCGAATCAGGGGGAGAGGTGCGTTCATTAGTAGCACTTGGTGTTTTATTCTGATAGCTCTGTGGTGCTTTAAAATCCTTTATTCGGCCTGTTCCAAATTAAAAAAGGTAGGATCTGAAACGTGACATAGAGAAGAAACGATCGCTTCTAAGTTACGTTCTGTATTGCAAAGTCCGTACATTAAGCAGAACGCACCATTACTACAATACACTATTGAATGCCCATGCGTGTTTAAAAATATCGTGATAGCCGAGTCTCCTTCAATAACACGGTAGTATAGTGAGATACCTTCAAGTTTAAATTTTCAGACATCTTCTAAAGTAGATTTAAACATGACTAAAGTAAGTAGTACGCATAGGCAAGCATGTTGCAAATTGAAGTAACCGGGAACCGTCAAAGAGGAGTAAGGGGAAGGGGGCAGCCAAAAGAATCCTTGAAACTTCAAGGTGTACAAAAGGGCTACTTAGTAGACATATTGACTTGTTTTTCACAAATCTATGTTGTAAACATAGAAGGAATTCTTATTGGCCACTAATAAGATAATTTTTACTTACCAACATGCCCAAAAAAGAGCCTAAGGTTGAGGGCATATTTTCGGCTAATATTAGATAAACTAGGACTGGTATTAGTCTTTTTGATCAAGAGTTTTTTAAGAACTTCTTAGAGGTGTGTCTTTTGTATTTTTGAACAAACCAATTTAACCTCTCGGTCATAGGTCAATCAGGGCCCTAATTTGATACTATGTTTACAATTTTTGACAAAGGATTGAACTCTTAAGATAATTCAACTTTGCTGAAATTTGACAAATATAAGTAACTATTTCTTGGGTGTAGCCCATTTTAACAAAATGCTGGTTGGGTAGGAAAGAGAACCACGTATACTTTCTCTCAGTGTTTCTATTCCGCCGTCCTATAGAGAAGTCAAGGAAAGCTACATTTGATACATGAATTGGGACAAATAAGGTAGTAAGTACCAAGTATACAATTGATATATTTGTTATTTGTTGTGATTTTTGATGTTGAATAGAAAGGTACTAAATACATTGATCTGGCTAGATTTTATTTGTAAAATACGTTAATATGATTTTTCTTCTAGTCTTTAATAACCAACCTTCTTATTAGCAAGTTGCGTTATTCACAACCTCAAAGCAATTGTGCCAGTTGCTTTGGTGTTACTTTGCTGGGTACCCAAAACGTCGGTTTAATCGGCATAATACGAAACTCCATTACTATGAATTTTCTAGGGGACACACATAATGACATCAGCTTTAACTATATGGATTTTCGCAAGAGTTGTTGTTTTCAATGATTAGTAAGTACCATGCTGCAGTTAAGAACTATGCACTTAGTTTTTTTGACATTAATCGTCTGTTATAATCAAAAAGTGAAGATATGCACTTTTCTTTTTTATATAATTATATAAGAAGCTTGAGAGAAAGATTTTTCAGATATGAGATAAGTAAGCAGTAAAAAATAAAAAGATCAATGCAAAAGAAAAATTTTTATTCTCAAAAGTACAAAAATAAGTCAGGTTATGCTTATCTTACAACTATTTAATCTTGAGGTCAATTATCATTACCACAAACTCTGGGATTTATGCATTTTGATGAATGAAATTGGTGAGAAAGGATGTAGGCGGTTTTCTACTTTAAGTATTGTAAAGCAATGAATACAGTTTTGGATATACGTATACACTGCCACGTAGATGTTGCATTGTACTATCTGCTACCAGATGGCACCAAAATGTCGTTTTCTCAAAACATTGGAGTTTTGCTGATTAAGCCGACGAAAAGCAACCACAAAGCAGTGCAGATCGGGTTATAATCTGGTTGATGTCGTACTGCTCCTGAACGATGCCCAACCTTGAAAGCCGTTATGCCCTGCATATGATTAAGTCGTCCGCTTTGTATTGTACAATCTATTACTATAGTGACTACAAAATATTCCTTAGATGAGTTAGCAATACAATTTAAAAACCTTACAGGGCAAACTCCAACTGTGGATCGACATCTTGCCAATAACAGATTTACCGGCTCCAAGGCAAGTGGATATAACCCCAAGAAAGCCAATTAACTACGAGCTCAGGGTGATTATTTGGAAGGTTGAAAATGTTTTACTGGATGAAGTCGACCTTCTTAGTGGAGAAAGAAAGTCGGATATTTACGTCAAAGGGTAAGAATTCACACAAGACCATCGCATCACTTCGTCTGTTATCGAATCAGTACAAACACAGACTAAGATACTAACATATATCTATAATATATAATATACAAATGCAAGTGTTGCTCCACTGCTCTCACACCAAAAACAAAAATTGAAACAAATCAGTATACAAATACAATGAGACTACTATGTATGAAATTTCTGTTTATTCTACAACGTTTCGACCACCACTGTGGTCTTTTTCAAGTACAATTGACAATTCTTTGACAATACATTTTATTTATCTGTCGTCCAGGTGAGATTTCGTTTCTTTCTTCCTGATCATACTCCTATACATCCTGTTACTACAACAGTCTTAACGGTCCTAAAACATGCGTTCATGCAGCTTGCGCGAGGCCATTATTGCGATTATGGTACTCCATTGATTGGCCGCTAAATCACCGTTGGCCTTCTGGAACATTTTAGAATGCAGCAGTGGCATAAACAGTCCATAGTCGACTTGTCAACAAAAGGTTGTGAATACACAAAGACAAAATTAAAAGTAAAAAATAACCACTCCTATATTCGGATTCGCTATCCTCGGTGTCGACACACCTCTTTTTTATACCTAAGCAGCCGCGCAGGCAGAAGCTTAAATGCCAGGACGTCGCGGATCCCAAAGGAATATTGTTGATCCGATTTTTGAACTGCCTAAGGTAGGTAGTACTGGGAAAAGCTTCCTCTTGTAGATTGTTCCACAATCTTGACATCCTCGAGATAAAGCGGTCGTATCGGTACCTGGATGTACGAAGTTCGACACGGTTAAGATGGGAGCCCAAAGTCAGGCGGGTCTGTCTGACAGGCATATCTCGCGGCGGCATCATGGAGGCGAGCTCTGAGGTTGATGCCCTCGCTGGTCCTTCGTGGTTTCCTACCTTAGCTACGTCGTGTCGATCGTGATGTTTTACCTCTGTGTTCTCCTGCGATCCAAGATAATTTTGGTGCAACTTGAGGCCTCCTCCAAATTGATTACTCTTAATAGCTACTAAGCCACCTGTCCGGCATTATCTTGCTTTCTTTCTTGGTTGTATCTCTTCTTATTCTCTTCCTTGTCAATAAGTATGGTTTTTCGCTTCTTCTCTCAACTCTTCACGTTCTTCACAAAATTGTACAGTCATCTCTTTTTCTATTGCTCCTAGGATTCTTATATCTTCGTTAGTTCTCATCTGCGTCCCTATCAGGATCTCAAATGGAGTGGTGCCAATTCTCCTGTGGTACGTCGAATTCAACACAATCTGTAACTTGTCAACTTCCTGGCACCATTTTATAGAGTCTTCGTTACTTGATTTTGTTAAAACAGAGATGATACTCCTGTTTATCCGTTCGACTTGTCCGTTTTCTCGTGGCACTCCGGTTGTTATCTTTACATGTTCGATGTTTTCCTTAAAATCTTTCGACGTGCATGCAGTTCCTTCATCAGAGATTATCCTTAATGGGTTGCTAAAAATCTTTTGTTGTCTCTTCAAGCAATCTATAATCTCCTTCGACGTCGAAGATCTCGTAAGGTAAATTCAGACGAATTTAGAGAAAATATAAATTACAATCAACAAAAGATGTTGATATCTCTTCTTCGCCGACGGTAAAAGTCATAAGTGGGCCACGTGATAAGTGTGCAGTGGTCCATGCTACTTATCGATAGGATATAAAAAGCCTTCTTCTTTACCCTCCTTTTTACTTCCAACAATAAAACCCTTCTTGTTAAGTATTTCTTGTCCATCGTCTTTTTGGGAAGCAGAACAGTCTGTTAAAATCTTAATCTTCACACCAAGCAGATAAATCTTAAGCTTCTTAACAGCCTGTACAACAGCTAGGACTTCGAGCTCATAACTGCTATACTTTTCTTTAGCTGGAGTGGTTATTTTGCTCATATAGCAAACTAGGTGAAACTTCTGATCTTCACTCGATTTCAGCGTCCAACAGGCTCCATAACCCTATTTACTTTCATCTGGGTGCAATTATATCTCACAACCTGGTTTTTAGGTGTGCAGCACTGGTTCAGCCGTCAATAGCGTCTTCAACAGCTCAAAAGTGCGCCTTTGGTCTTCTTGGAATATAAAGGATGTGTTCTTCTTCAGAATATCACGATCGAGCGATAGCTGCATAGCCATATATACATTTTCTAAAGTATCGGGTCAGTCACTAACTATGATTGAATCTATGTTTATGCGTCTTTTTTTCTCTGGATTTATCTCAGTGTTTCCTTTGGTCCTGGTCCTTACGTGCTGTCTCTTCCGACCTCTCTCATCATACGAATGTATTCTTGCAGAGATTGATCTCTTCTTTTCTTCCACGCCATCAGCATTTTGTGAATTTTCTCACTCGCCATCATCGTCTCAAATTCTGCTAGCAGTCTGCTCTTTAGTGTTGTCCATCTTTGTACACCCATTTCCAACTGAATGTATGATTTAGCTAGACCTCGTAACGACTCCGTAGCAAAAACAAGCTTCTGGAAGTCATTTCAGCCCATCACCTCGGTCCTTTCCTCGAAGTCATCCACCCATTTTCTAACAGGATGTTCACACTTTCTGTCGAACGATCTGATACTATCCTCAGGTCTTTGAAGCTTAATAAAAAGCTAGGATACAGAGTAGAAGGCATGTTTTGGATGCGTATACTCTTAACACTTCGCATGTCATGATAGCTATCTGCGTCTCCATTTTCTCTTTCTTCGTCTTCGTCTCTGACGTCATCATTTTCAGAATCTATGAAAATCACACAAATACGATCCGCGACTTCAGTTTCAGATACGCAATAATCTAAATCGAGTATATGGCAAACAGAAATCAAATCACCCAAATTCAGTTTACTCAGAACTTCGTCAATGTTAGCCAAAGATTCTCTGCAATTTTTCGCAAAACCGAAACCCGAAAAAGATCTTAATCCGGCTCTAACTTTTCTCGGTAACCCTTCGTTGCCGTACGCCACCAGATGCAACACCTTTACCGCTTTCAATTTACACTGTAATTTTGTCAATATCAGTCAACGTCAACCTTCTGGAAGCCATTATTCAAATAAATTTGTAAATAGATCGTAAACATTATGAGCACAATAGCAACGGGAAGTCTACAGTTAGTCGAAAAGTAGGCACGTCGACGGCAATCAGATCGTCAGAATTATCCAAAGATGCAAAATTTTGAAAAAAAACAACCCAGACGGTGGTATCCATACAACACAATATTTTTCAGAAATAGTTTAGAAATCTTACATTGTAATAATGGTAATGTTTCAAAATCCTTAGAAAATAGTACTGTAGTATTTCTGAGGTTTACAATATACTCAGCAACATCAGAAGTATTACACCCAGAAAAAACAGTTTATTCAACTTGTTCCTTTGGCAACATAATGACTATATTTGAAGCATGCTGTGACAACAATATCAACATGTTTTTGTTTAGCTTTGCTAAAATGTTATCTCTTTGTTTTTGTGAAGAAAGCAGTTTCTGAGAGCTGAGTAGTACAGATATTCTAGGTTACTGTCCTTTCGTTGACTAGTGTAAAGCATAACAAAATGCCTTGAGTTCGAAGCCGTCCAAATTATCACCATGTTAGCGACTTTGATAGAGGTAGAATTATTGCCTATCGAAATGTTGGTTTATCCTATCGCGAAATTTGCCGTCGTGTTAATTGTACTGCAATGACGGTAATGCGTGTGTATCGTGTGTGTGGATAAAAGAAGATAGAGGAACACGAAAAATGCCAACTGGTCAACCAAGACGTACAACTAGCCCTAAGAGACCGTTTTGCTACTACGCGTCAGATCGCTAAGCAGTGGTTTGAAGAAGAAGGTAGACCTATGTGTACACTCTATCGCCGCATTCGAACCTTTAGACTTTTTTCATACCGTCCACGGTTAGTCCATCAGCTGACTGTGGACCATCGTCGTCAACGTTGGAACTGGAGCAGAGAACGGCAACAGTGGAGGCAGAATGGCATAATGTCAGCTTGAGCGACGAATCGCGATTTTGTCGAGGTACGCACGATGATCGTAGAAGGGTAGGACGCCGCCGTTGAGAACAGCGTGGTATTAGATTTGCTGTTGAGGGGCATGTACACAGGACTGTTGGAGTAAATGCTTTGACGGCTATTGCCTATAGTAGCCGGTCACTCCTTCTCTTTTTTCAAGGCTGCGCGTTATGTTGATGATGTCGCACAAATAACTTTACTGCCGTATCTAGAGGGCCGACCACACTTCATTTTTCAGCAAGATAACGCAGTCCTCATATTGTTCGTCACACTGCGGACCTTCTCCAAGAAGCAAGCGATAATGTTTTGCCGTGGCCACCCCGTTCACCGGATTTAGATCGCATCGAACATGTGAGGGATATGATCCACTTTGCACAATCCGCTACAGACTCTGCCACAGCTAATCCACGAAATTCGAGTTTCTTGAAATGAGTTACCACAACTAGACATCGATTATCTCATTTTGTCGATGTCTAGATGTATTCAGTGTGTTCAGCTGCGACCCACCCAATACATGATTGTTTTTTCTTATTACTTGTCAATAAAATTTCGTGAGAACATTATCGTTTTATTCTTGATGTAAGACTACCTCATTGCCAAAAGATCGAGTGAGGAGTTTTTTTTGGGTGCAACACTTCTAGTATCATTGAGTATATATAAGGTGTTAATACAAAATGTAGACAAACTTTTTTGAAAACAGAATTTCCATATGAACATGGGTCCGCAACGACTTTGTTTTCAAGCTAGACCATACTAGCACTAAAAGAAATGATGGTATTGTTCTAAAAAATTATTAAAGAATGGAACGTATTTTATTTTAATTAAATATGCCCTGTGGTGAATATTACATGATTTACAGTTGCTTTCAGACGTAGATACGGATAATGTTATCCGATATTTTTTTTGAAAATAGCATGACATTGATTTGTTTTGATCGCAATACTCTTAATATGTAAGCATTGTGCTTATCTAGACACCTATGACGTACCTGAAAACAATTGAATTAATGTATTTTCTCAAATAATTCGTGGCCATTTTGAACATTTAATGTAAAAAAAACTATTCAATATTTTCTATTGTTGTCCTTCTATTCGAATGTTACTGTTCAAAACTATTGACCTTCTGAATAAATTTTTTTCCAAATATACAGGATAATACTATTTTCACCCACATTCATATTGAGCCTCAGCAACTTGTAAAACATGCAAAATTCATCATAGGTTATACCAAGTATGTTTCATTGTTCATAGAAACATCACTCGTATTTCTTTAGTGATAGTGCTCTAGCTCGAAAAGAAAGTCGTTACGGACCCCTGTACATATGAACATTAGTCTTCAAATTGACCAATGATTCGATGGTTAAAGTTTGTCTACATGCTTTGTTAACACCCTGTATATGAAAATATCCGCTTTTATAACCTGTATTCGAATCCTTCACAAATATTACATTGAAATGTTACAAAGTGATGTTCAATGGTCATAGCTTTGATTGGTGCCAGGAACTGTTATTGCAATATTGAATACTTTCTTAAATAAAACACATTAGTATTTCCAACGAATCTATTACATATGTATAAGTATCAAGCATATCTTCCTGTATAATACTTGAGTCGTCTATCCACCTATCCATCCGCCCACCTCATATGTGGCAGTTGAGTCATCTACGAGTATCTATCCATGCGTCTCATAATGTGACAGTAGTCATATGCCTACAAGTTTTAACATTAATCCACATTATTCTGGAACTGAGGGGTAAAGTTTTAAAATAGAATGTAGGGAAACAATCGTTACTAATGTCTCAGCTGCCCACGGAGGCTTATTAAACTATATTTTTTAAACCTCTGTGATGATTGTTCTGTATCATAATGTCTTGAATTAGTCCAGTTTTATTTTAGAGATATAATGAAGTGAATTTCTAAAAATAGTGATTAAAATTTCTTAATTAATCCATCTTCATGGTCTAGGAGATATGTGAACATTTGAGATAGTTAATTCAAAATCAGGAACTTTGAAGATTACTTTTTAACAGAATCCTTAAAAACCAATAATCATCTAATTTTTTTATAATTAATTGGTCAATATTTGTTTCCAGCTATTTTGGTAAATACTAATAAACAAACAATCAAATCTGATACTCTGATTACTTTTTATCAACTATTGATTGTACACCAAGAAATTGAATGTGACGCTTGCCTTACAATGGCAGTCGGTCTTTCTGGACGCTGGCCAAGCAGATTGAAAAGAACTTTTTACACAGTAGCCTTTCACCACTTACGTGTCAGGATGGAATGATTGCAACCGACTCAAAGGCCAAGGCGGAAGTGCTTGCCAGGATCTTTCCCTACACTATGAGGGAAGCAACATGCAGGCATAAGACCGTAAGACGGGTGCTCTCGTCGCTCGACATCAATTGATTGCATAAACGAGATGTCCAATATTTTCTGATTCTGTAATTATCTTAAATAGTAGCAACCTTGTTATTTTTCTGTCGTGGTCATAAAATAAGAAGCTTGAGTCTTTATCTTACCAAGTAGTAGAACACACGCTCTCTCCATTCTTGAAAATGTGTTTGTATTCATCAGAGTGAATCTAAAAAAATAAAATAAGTTGGTAACAATTGTACTTTGAAGTGTTACTTAGTACCGGATACTACCTAGTTGCATGTTGAGCTTATTTGCCCATCTAAGAAAGTAGACACAGATGGGGGTACTTCCGTCTTCTCATTAATTTATATGCCCGTCGTCCACCAGCATATACTGAAATTGCAGAAGCAACATCTCATAAAGACCATTATACTTGTTTACCACACTTTCACTTCCGAAGCTGACCAGCTGTAATGATGTGTTCCACGGACTTTATCCCATTTATGCCTAAAGAGTTGCAAAAAGGTTTTTTTATTATTTTTTAAAAAACCTTATTAAAAGACGACACTTTGGAGGTATTTTCAATTTATTCTAACAAAAATACATAAACAGTTTTTTTGGATGTACTATACATAGTACATTAGGAATAAAGGTAGCTATAAGAATAATAATAAAAAAAATATTGAAAACAGTACAAATATTTTGAAACACATCAATATTGCAAATTTTAAAGAATATTGAACAAAACATTTCACGTGAAGGCCGACATCACATTTTCTACATCTAGTAGTCGTGCGCTCATGACAGTGTGCACACCTTGTTTGTTTGCCTTGTGGAATGACTAAATGATCGAAACGATCATACCTTATGTCACCAAAATTTCTTGATTTACCTACCTTGCTGGTACGTATAAGTCTTCTTATTTTGTGTCAAGATAGTTGTAGCTACACTTCTTCTAAATTGTAATTGATCCACGTTATTTCCTCTCTTTTTATAAATATTCCAGGCGTTTGTCAGGGCCATATCTACACATTGAGAGATCAACGAGAAATACCATTTTTTGCCTCGGATTTGTACTCTGTATTGAGCTATATTCTGGTCTGAGCTATCAACCCCCCCCCCCCATACATTTATTATACAGCTTGACAACTTGGGGCTGATCTACATACACACACTTTTTTTCTTTTTGAGAATACCGCTTTACTGAATTTACTCGTTCAATTCCAATCGCTGTAGACCCAAAAGTTACAATATTGTTGTCATTCCATTTGACAAAAATTAAGTTTTTATCTTTTACTTTGGTATAATCAAACACTCCACGTTCCTTTTTCATAAGTTTTGAATTTTTCAAAGAAGACATGGGTATACGATTTTCACGAATTATTCCTGTACCACATATGCCTTTTTCAGTCAGGCTTTCAAACAAAGCT